CTCCTAGTAGCGATGCCAGGAACCCCTAGTAGCGTCCTTGCTCCTAGGAGCGATGCCAGGAGCCCCTAGTAGCGTCCTTGCTCCTAGTAGCGATGCCAGGAGCCCCTATGGCGTCCTTGCTCCTGGGAGCCCTAGTAGCGTCCTTGCTCCTAGTAGCGATGCCAGAAGCCCCTAGTAGCTGGTAGCGTCCTCGCTCCTAGTAGCGATGCCAGGAGCCCCTAGTAGCGTCCTCGCTCCTAGTAGCGATGCCAGGAGCCCCTAGTAGCGTCCTTGCTCCTAGGAGCGATGCCAGGAGCCCCTAGTAGCGTCCTTGCTCCTAGGAGCGATGCCACGAGCCCCTAGTAGCGTCCTTGCTCCTAGTAGAATTCAGAGAGTTTTCACGTGAACACAAAAATGAGTTTGGCTTCGCAGGGCACACTTGCGCCGATGCTTTGGCCTCGGTTGGAAGGTGGGCCCCGCTGGGCCGTTCTTTTTTGGGCAATGCACAAAGCTGATGAGGGATTGAGCATAGATTCAAGTAAGCTTCTAGTATATAACTGGATGCAGGATAGCTCATGCTTCTTCAAATAAAGAAGCTTCCCACGCCTGAGGACGGGGGCAAGCTTCCTTGAAGAAGCGCTCGCACTAATCATTTGGTTCCTAGACGTTTAGACAAAGTATGCATTCTACTTGGGTGACTTGCGCAATCATCTAGAGTGGGCCAAAGTGTTACCTGTAGTCTTGGCATTTTATCTAATTAGCAGGAAAGACATCCTCTTGCGAGCTCCAAAATACTGTCTACAGACTCTACAGACACAGTTAGACACACATACACTTGTGTGTTCATCTATCATTCAGACTTGTTGCTCGCATTCACAGATTGGCTGCCCTTGACGTGTTAGAAGCACAGTTGGAATTCTGTTTGCCAGATGAAGCCCTATTTGATTCGAGTTGTCAACAGGCTTTGCCACAAGCCACAAGTATCCAATTTGGTGGCCTCAGCCATTTGTGCTCCAGCAACCCAAGCCAGCGCTTTGTCATTCAATATGGTCAAGCAAGGTTGCTTGTCTAAAGCAGCCGTTTAAAGCAGCCTCCACACCTTTCGTTCTTTGATTCTGTTTGATGCTCGTTGCCCAAGGCAGTTGCGCCAAGACTCTGGATGCATTGGGTTCTTGGAGTGTGAACTTGGCAACTCTTTTCAGTGACTATTATTTCCATGCTTGGCACATCTTGGCACCATTTTGGGGACTCAGCCTTTGTGGAAAGGCCAAAGAAGGGCGATCTAGACCTCGGAAGTTTGTCTTTTGCTCCGAGATGACCTGAGACCAAAGAGTGCCGTTTTTGGTGTTCTTTTTTCATCCACGACCCTCCTAAATTCAAGAAAAGAGACAACGTATGTTCGATGCAGTTTTCGCGGGGCCCTCCGTCTCGACAGAGAGGCATTGAGCCGCCGAACCGGAAGCTCTTGTCGGCCGCGCTGCGGAAGGCCGCAGAGAACACGGAGACTTGGACAAGACGAGGACTTGTACGAGTCTCCTTTTTGAACGATGTGTCAGACAGAGAACAAGCTTTACACAGCTTGCTGTGAATTTTACACAGCTTCTTGTTTGACATTGCGCAATGGCGTTCCAAGTTCTTATGAGGTTTGTGGGCCTGTGGGCGGTATCAAATTACAACGGTTTACATGTTCCATTCTTTTATGTTTTTCATTTGGATTTATATACTAGACATTACTAGACTATATATATATATGTATATACTGTAATTTGTAATTGTATATTTGATTTCGTTGGACTATGGTAGTTCGAACACCTACTGTTAGGGTTTTCAATCTGCGTTGTCTTGGAAGAAACTGAGGCGAACGTCCAGTTCGTGGAGGTGCGCTCTGAGATGATGATCAAACGAGAACATGCTGCGAGCCAGGGTCGTCAGCGGTGAGGCAGGCGATTGCCACTGGAGGATTTCAGCCGAAGCGGAAGTGACGACCATACCACTGGTCACTGGAGGTGTTAGCTATGGCCGTCAGGACTGGCTTTATCTTGACTTTGCTTAAATTTGGATGACTCAATTAGGCGTGAAAAAGAAGTCTTGAAGGATAAGTTGAATCGCTTGGTTGACTCAAGCTGCAAATGTTCACAATGTCAGGATCCCGGCAGAGACTCTTCGTGAGACCTTCGCGACTATTACTTCTTTCCTCCAACCGATCTAGCGCCCAGCGTGTCGTAGAATGTCGTAGATACAATCAAAACAGCATTCCATTCAGGAGAAGCAATATCGGTATAATAGTAATCACCAATAGAACGTTACCATGTGCAGTAGCCTTGGTGTTTTGGTTTTCACCTGCAGACAAAAGGATGACCCGGAATCCTCTTGATTTTTGGACATTTTCCATTTTAAACCGTGGACGTTTGGCAGTTGGCCGAACGTTTCAAGGATTGCAGAATTCAGGACAATTTGGAACTCTTGTTTAGCGGGCTATCTTGGCAGGCTTCGGCTTAAGCAACCAATGACCAAGGCCGAGCCTTTGTGTGACCTGTGCAACTGCAGGCTGCTTTTGCTGGTTTACCAGCCCGGCTGCGGTGCGTCTCGCAGCCCGCTTGTAGGCTGCAGTGACTCTCTCCCTACGGAGGATGTTCTGCAGATGACCATAGCCTCGCTGAAGGAGCTGCCACGATGACTCGACGATGTGACTGTAATGATACAGCGATCTTGAGACGCTGCACCGTACTCTAAGCTTCTTCAAAGAGTGGATGGAGAGATTGACACTTGAGTTGAGAGATCTCAGTGCCCTCTCTGATCTCCGCCAATCGAGATCTCGACCTTTCGGCGTGCGCCAAACGCGCCCCGGCCAAAGCCTTGCTCGATGATTGGAAAAGTACTGAGGCGGTTGCTGCATTTATTCACCAAAGGAGACATGAGTACCTAGGACGCTACTAGGGGTTCCTGGCCTCACTACTAGGAACAAGAAGCTACTAGGGGTTCCTGGCCTCACTACTAGGAACAAGAAGCTACTAGGGGCTCCTGGCATCGCTACTAGGAGCAAGGACGCTACTAGGGGCTCCTGGCGAAGTCTGGCGAAATCCCTGCGATCAGAACAGCAATCTCTCGCTGCAGGGATCCTCCTGAAGATTGCGGCTGTGCGGGATCTTAACGGCCCTTTGTGGATCGCGCATGCCAAAGCTATTGGAAACGCTCACCTGCAAGCTTACTTTCAATGAACCATTGCAATACATAAGTTGTATAAACCACACAGCAGGGCTTAATTAAGGAGCAAGCAAGACCATTTTCCTTCAACTTATCTATCAATGCAATGAGATGCAGTGAGCAGGAGGGTGTGGGTGGTCTTAAGGCAAGTGCAATGATTTCGCTTGCGACTTGCCAGCAAACCAGGCAATGGGCAGGGCTAGGGGCACGGAGCGTTAGACGGGAACATGCCCTGGAAGACGAGATGTTGGCAATTACCGTGGTCAATCAGACCACTACACTATTCTCAAGGGCAATAGACGACAATGCAATCAAACATCATGGGGGTTGAAGCAACGCCTGGAAATTGCAGATCAAAGCTGTGTTTGCTTGAATTCAACAGGGACTGCAAGGCTCCACACCTCAGTTGTAGAAGTACTTGAGGTTGTTATATGGTTGTTCCGGCCACTTGCATCAAGCACACATGTGGCTTCACATACTGTAATGTCCCCCCAATAATTCAATTCTTGCGCCTCACTTCCTGGCAAAAAGCTATCATATACAATATACATACATTTGTACTCTTGCTCTGAGCCTAAGTCTATAGTCTTTTGTGTTTGAGTGGTAGATGTTACAGTGTCCAGCACAACGGTGCTCTCTCATGGCTAGAATTGACGCAACAAAGGACACTCTGGACCCTTTACTTTGCTTAGCCAACGAAACTGGGACATAAGACTAGAGGGTCAAAAGAACCATTACTAGCAGTAACAAGAAGCTATTAGTAACAAGTGCATCGCTTCTAGTAACAAGTGCCTTACTACTAGTAACAAGAAGCTATTAGGTCATGGCTGCCAACGATCTTGTGACAAATCATGAGACTCGCGAGATCCATGAGAGCCCCATGTTTGGCCTTGCTGTCTCCTGCATTGGCTGCATCTGTGCTGGACTGTGGCGCTTTGCGTGTCCATCAGTATCTCAGCAGCACAAGACACTCATTGCACGACAGTGCTACGAACGTATCCCCAACACCATCCCAAACTGGTTTATTGAATGGAGTTCTCCAAAGCACAGCCAACTCTTGAAGCCTTGGTTTGGAGGAGGTACCCTTGTTCATCTCCGTATTTTCTTTCTTATAACATGTGAGATTTATGCCTTAGCCAGGGTCAGTCATGAAAGCAACCCACATGGAGTGATCAATGCCAATGCTGCAAATTCTATTTGCATCTAGTTGGGTGAGCGCAGAGGCACGTTGACAGGGCTTGAAAGCTTAGGTTGCAGCTGGGAAACATGCAAAACTATCAGCAGCTGGTCAGAAGCTTGTGCAGCCCAGGAGGTGACGTAATGTGACGTAGTCAGACGTAGTTAGACGTGGGTTTCTTTTTTGTTGTTTCTGGCCACTCTTACTTAATTAAGTAGGCGCCTACTTAACTAAGTAAAGAGGTACGCTCCTAGGTAGGACCTGGTAGGACGCAGGATAGTGCTCGCACTATTCATTTGGTTCCTAGATGCATGCGCGCTTGCATGTGAATTGCTAGGTTTTTTGTAGTTCCAAGCCATGCTCAGACCACCGAGTACAACAAGGCGAATTAAGCCCAGTAACATGTTTGCCTGTCATATATTGCACAAAGCTTGCCGAGTGTTTGAGGTATGTGCTGGACAATGGTGAAGTTGCCATCACGGCTGCCTGCCAGATGTGCGTTAAAGAGAAAAACTTGGATGTAGTGTGCTTTTGTGTATTTTGATTCAATTAGATTCGCTCGTTTTGTGCACGATATGAGGTGGATGCAGCCTGGGACATTGGGAAGATCCGAAGATACATCGAGAAGATGGACCTTAGGTGAGGTGTTGGCAGACAAAAGCACATGTTGGTTTCGTTTCGCTTGCCACCTGGAAAGGTTGATTGGTGGCCTTTACACTCATGGCCACTTTGACCACATCGGTGGAGCTTTTCCAGGAGTGGACATGACATGTTGCAGCAGACCTGTTCAATACGAAGAGCTTGGTGGTTGCAGCCGTTTCAGCGAAAGATAACAAGATGAACTCTTAGAGTCTTAGAGAAACAACAAGTGCAACCACAACCACGCCACAACAATTGCTGAAACAATCGAGAAGGCACAAGAGTAAAGATGGACAACACATGACAACACAATATGTGATGGTAGCAGAATCTTGCGGGCCTGCAAAATGATTTGTCCATCGATTTGTGCTGCTGAGAATCCCTGTTTAACAACCAGAACCTGATGAATCTATTCTTGAGCTGTGGCTTTGTGACCGTGCATTTGAGTCATGGTAAAGCATTTGGTTAGAAAGCTCAGGTCGTTAGATCAACAACAACAACAGCAGCAAAACCACAGCCGTTTGTTTATAAATCTTGTACTTATGCAAGAACATGTCCACTTAAAACACAGCTTGAGCTTGCTTATTTTTGACATATGCATGACTTGAAATCATTGCTGCGCAGTGCCTCATAGTGGGAAGAATGCATCGCTGGCTCATTCTTCATCCTAGTGGCCGGCCACTTTTTGAACTTGCTCTTTGTCGAGCCCTTTTCTCTTCCACACCTGCTTAGTGTAAGCAGTGAGTTGTTGCAACAGTGAGCTTAACATCTGCTACCAACTGGACATGTGAACCGTGATACAGTATACGTCTAGCCTGAGTCTTGATGAGAAAGCGATAAGAACTGTTGCATATTGCCCAAACTCTCTAAAGTACGATACGGACTTTTTGGACTAGTGATTTTGCAAGGAGTTTGATGGAGGCTACTAGGGGCTCCTGGCCTTACTACTAGGAGCAAGGATGCTACTAGGGCTCCTGGCCTCGCTACTAGGAGCAAGAACGCTACTAGGGCTCCCTCGGCGAGGATCCAGTGGACCTCCTGTTCAAGGCGCTGCACAACTTCAGGAGAGTAGGAGTAGACCTGGAGAGCAAGGCTTCAGGAATTCAAAAGCCACAAAGATGTTTTGTTGTGCCTTGGTCACTTGGTGATTGGTGCAGGATAAGAATAACCCATGCTCACCCCAAGCACTGAGCGAACTTAGAATTGGAGACATTGACCAATGAGCTAGACATAAAATCAAACAATTGCAGCTGGGAGGACCTTCCTCTTTACCTGGGAACCAATGATATCGAAGCGGCTACGCTACAAACCAAGCTGGATGCATCAAGGTGGCACCCATTGAAAGAAGGCAGCAGAAGGGTGGGAACAGAGAGTTACAATGTGCACATGTTCCATGCCATTGTCCGCCTCTACTGTTTTCTTAAGCTTCGTTTGGCGAACAACCTGGTCCAGCTTGGAAAAACCCAATAGTGATACAGTGATAAGACATGATGCAGGTGGCCTTGCTGTTGTTCAATCAATGCCACATTTTTGTTGCAATTCTTGGAGCTGGGGACGGGAACTTGTTGCAAGGTGACACGCTCCCACTACTTGGCGATAGAGTTCAGATTTGGGTGCCACTCTACTTGCATTGAGGTTCTGAATGGACCTAACTGTTGCATCATTTGACTTGAGAGTTTGTTTTGAAGCGTCGCAAGACAAACAAGTCAGTCGCATTCACGATGCTTTCTTGAGTGGCAGAGCTTCACAGCGTCAGTAAAGCAGACCAAATTTGATGTTCGTTTCCAGCCAGCTGAGGCTCGACACGCCCGGCCACACTTTAGGTGCGGTACTCCATGGGAGCTCGATATTAGCTTCAGCTTGGAACAAGATGTGGATGCATGGCATATGAGGAATATACTGTATATGGAATGATTCTTCGTAGTTAAATCTCTATCTCAGGGTTTATTGTCCCACCCACAGCTTCGAAACAGGGAGAAAATTTAGGCTACATGTCTTGAGCCGGCTGGACTGCCAAGTTTGTCAAAGCTTGGACGGCCCAGGAGGTGTCACCTTTTGGGTGCAGGGAGATCTTGAAGATGCATGTGGGGAAGGCCTCAGAGTTTCAGAACTTCAGGTCGTCATGCCAGAACTTGGCATGAAAAGAGCGTGTCATACTGCCACATTGCCACACTGCCACACAACAAGTGTTTTGTTTTCCGATGAAAGGCTTGCTTTTGACGGGTGACACACTCTTCTTGACGAATGTGGGGCGCACTGACTTGCCTGGAGTCTTGGTGTGAATCTAATCCGTGGAGTCTTGGTGGAGACCTTGAACTCTTTCAGACGACATAGCCGCAGAATAAATCTCCAGCTGGCCGGCAAGTTCACACTTCAAACAAACAAGCAAAGACCTTGATGAGTTGAACACACAAGGCTTTGGTGTTCTGAAAGCATCTGAAAGCTGGGAATTCTCCATGAAGTTCTTCCGTCTTGCAACGCACGCACTGTCTCGGCCATCTCCGTACTTTGCAGCCAACTGCCATTGAATGCTGACAACTCTAAAACTAACACATACACATGTGTGTACTTATCATAAACGGATCTGTATACGTGACAATATCCTCTCAATGACAACTGTTGTAGGAAGCATGACAGGTTGTGCCAGGAGGATCACCACATTTACATGGGGATGAGGATTATTTGGATATTCTTTTGCTTTTGCTTCAAGAGCCTCTTGTCCTTCGCCAGATTCTCCCCCAGGTGGTGACATGAGGACTCTGGAACGCAGCCTGGCGCGCCTGAGTGGGGCGGCGGACCGTGCCCAAATCCTGCCTGGGCATAGCCTCGTGGTACAACGGGCCGATGGGTACGGGTCCGTTGGGGTCAGGGAATCCATCATAAACCCACTCGCCAAGATGAACAAGCACACAAATCCACCATAAAGGGTTCCTTGCCGACCATGATGATCAATCAGTTTTTGGTGTGTTGCTGTCAAACTCGACCAGATGTTCTTTGCTTTGAGAATGAATTGTTTCTGAACTCGCAACTCGCTTCTTTGATCAGCTTCTTCACAGTCACAGCTGAATTCATCTCACTTCTCTCCCTTGGGGTTTCTATGTCACCTCACTCATTCTGATGAAGGGTAGAAGGAACCAAGAGTTCTGACACTGCTCAGGTGTCCCACTTTTTGCGGCGATGTTTTCTAGTTGGCGTTCGTTTGCAAACAGGTCACAATGCCAAGTCTAGTGAAAGTGAACGCGTCATATCCTTCAATATTTATACAAGGGCACCGCTGCCAGCATACAATGGCCTAGGCTATGATGCGCCGCCCAAGCGACAAGATTTGGCAGTTGTGCGCAAGACCAATGCTGCAATGAAAGCTGCTGTGGCGAGGCAAAGGAACCTACGAGTTAAGGAGTGCATAGGGAAAGGACAGTCAGTACAGCACATGTCTAAGATGTGCTTCGAGACGGCTGGAGTGCCGTGACTACTCACTTCACACAAGGCCATGGTACTGGATAGTACTGTTGGCTTGGAATCTACCCACTTGCCAAAGGTGGATTTGGATGATTTGGTATGATTTTAGCAAGCTTGCAGCACTCTTGACAATAGCTGCTGTTGCACTGCCTGAGCCAACAACTTAGAGTCTAAGAGGTAGGTCTTGTTGCCCTTTAATCGTCTTCAATGCACACAAACGACCATGGATGGCAGGTATTCCTCTGGCCTTTCACCATTGCCCTGGCTACGCTCCAAAGACGAGCTCTGAAAAAGCTGCTCATTGAAACAATGGCGAACTGCACTGTTCATCCCTGTTAATTTTGCCCCAAACTTTCCGATAGGCTGGGCATCAATATTGTGGACACATTGGCTGCGCATTTTTTTGCCAGACAAAACAATCACAGAAACCTTTGCTGGTGTGCAGAAGGACAGGTTTTTTAACGCAATCGTCCAGAGAAATCCAGAGACAGCTGAGATTCTGTGGTGTGTTTGCAACTGCAAGACCATGTTTGCCACCCCAGTGCGCGTGCACTACTGTAATACTTACCGCAAAAGATTGTGAAGGTACAAACGTCATATACATGCAGTTGTTCTTGTCAGTGAGTTAGTGATTCAGCAAGAGTCTCGTCCTTTAGATGGCCTTTGCGATCCTTAAGTGAGATAGGCTGCGTTGAGACACAAGAACGGAAGAACGGTACCTGCAACAGATGAACGCAGACAGATTATGACAGACACATCACTGTTGAACCGCTGCCAGCATACATGTGCCATGTCGCTGCTTTGCAAAAGATGTATTATTGTCCCAGGCTGGTGAAACTCATGAAGCACTTGCTTCATCCGCATGAATAATCGGTGTGTTACTCAAGCTCGATTGTTGAGCTCCCTCGAGCAGGGAATGGATGCACGAATGCAAAGAAAAGTAACTGGTATGGCCGTGCGCAAGAAGAACTTACGAAGAGCCTTGATTTAGACACCGCTTTGCAAGTGTTGGCAACTCACGGTGCTTGTTGCGGGAAGCTTGTCAGGGAATGCTAAAGACTGCCACCCACATTCCAAATGCTTAACCGGCTCGTCGAATCATTCATCACTAGTAGCAGATTGGCTTTACTGACCGCATCATACCGCATCAATCCATTTGCCTTAAATCGCTCTCAGATAAAACCAAGGACTGGACTGTTCAAGGAAGTGATCGTTGAGAACATGCCAGATCCACATGTAGCTCGTGAAAGTGTTTGGCTTCCGTTTCTGCAGAAGTGCTTCGTATGCAGAGACACTGTTTCACTTGCTGTTGACATCCAGGCGTAGTTCGATTGGCACCTGACCATAGTTGAGGCAAACGCTATAGTATATATAATTAGAAGATGTGCTTCAGTTTACACAAGCTCGAAGATTGGACACCTGTCAATATTAGCGGCAGTGCACCCTGTAGGTTCTAGGAAGAGACCCTAACAACAACCCTCTCGCTACTGATTTCCAACTTCCTAGCCTAGGAAAGTTTTAAAAAGGTATCATGAAAGTCGGAGTGAAGGTAGTTCTGGTGTGCAAAATTACACAAAGTCCGTCCGGCAAGGCTTGGTGCAGATGAAGACGCTGTGCTGATTGGACTGGGGGTTGATTGCAACCGCCCACAATTCCATGCTTCTATGAAGCAAACTACCAACAAGGTTGTTGAGCTTGTTGCAGTGACGGGGAACTCAACAGAGTGATCATGTGATTGCAGGTATTCCTTTCTTTTGCCGTTCATTGCTGCTGCAAGTGCCAAGATCAGCGGTTGGTCACCTGCAGGACACTCCAGTGGCGCAGAAGCAACGATGCGTCTCCTGGAAAAGCAAAAGCTTCGGGGAGCTGCGCCTGCTCTGAATCATGCGAAGGGATGTTGGGGTACTGTTACGGTAGATGCGCTGAATCATCCGACAATTATATAGGTTTGAGTTTTGAAGGATGCAGTCCCTGCAAACTTTGTGTTTCCAGCTTCATTTGCATTTTGGCTTGGGTCGTTTGATCCAAGGTGTTGGTTTCAGCTTGCCACACTGATTTGGGAGATGCTCCGTGGCTGCACCGTGATGAACAGACGGCAAAGCGCACACAGACAGACTGCATTTGAGGAGAATGAGAGGGCATCGGGATACTACGATCGCCCTTGGGCACCTGAGACCGAATTGGATAACTTTAAAGATGTTAACCCCCCCTAGAAGGTCGTTTTTTGAGTGTTTCTGAATGCAAAGGCCACACAGGCAAAATCTTCTTCAAGTGTTTTGCTCTGCCTATTTAAGATTTTGTTTTGCGTGTGTTTGTCCATCGGCTTCATAGACACAGCTTAACTTGAGGCTCCCTGTTCAGGTCAATTCTGTTTTCTTGATCTTTCCCTCACATAAAATGGTGAAGAGAGGCTTTACAGCACCTCCATGTTTGATGAGACCGGTGCGGCTGCGGCAAAAATATCAATACACCTCACCCCACTTTGCCAAATCCAACATCAGGAATGGACAGCCATCGCTGAGAATGCAGGCTCGTACAGTACAGTACACTACTGGATTGCTGTGATGTTCTCAACTTGGCCAGTTATTGATTGACTTTTACTGTTGTGATTGCAGTAGGATGTTGATTCTCAGTAGCTGTGGATTTGCCACAAATCCATGCAACACATACACTACTTGCTCGAATGCTTCTCATTGGACCCGCAGGCTTTATCCTGCAGTGGCATTCTACTGACGATCCCTTTATCCCGATCTCAGAGGCCCGACATGTGGCCGAGAGCTTGGGAGTTTCTTGGAGACCAAAGTTGCACCGAGAACTTGTTGAATGCACTAGTCACAAGCTGTCAATCGGAACACCCAACTTGCTTGGACATCTTTTTTTTTTGTGTGTGTGTGTGGGAATGTAATTTTTTGAACTCACCAGTGGCTGAAGCAAAGAAGCAGCGTCTCTTGTTTAGCCTTGAGCCATGAGGAGTGTCTTGAGTGTCGAAATGTGATCGAATAGTAGCTTCTTGTTACTACTAGTAAGGCCAGGAGCCCCTAGTAGCTTCTTGGTCCTAGTAGTAAGGCACTTGTTACTACTAGCGTCCTTGTTACTACTAGTAAGGCACTTGTTACTAGAAGCGATGCACTTGTTCCTAGTAGCTTCTTGTTACTACTATATCGAAACTCCCCTTTTCTCAAGTTGGAGGCAGATAGACCGACCAAGAGACTTTGTCATTCATGGCGGCATCATGCGGCAACCAAGGAAAAATGTGAATACATTGAACACGAGCATCTCGGACACAGTGAATGTGGTGTTGGCACGGCGACAACACAGTTTAGCAAGAGTTCTTAAAGTCACACCCAATGAGAGTCCAACTTTGCTTCCTGAGGAAATCTTCGCACTTCTTCAAGTGGGATGTCTTTGGAAACGAACTCCTGGAGAAACTGATGATGCGACCCAGCAGCAAAACGCTGCACTTATCTGGCTAGGGCTAGGGTCTTTGGCAATGTGTCTAAAGCATCGTCCCTCACATGAATTTTGGTGGTGTATACGCTTGGCGCTGCCTCATGTTCTGGGCTGGGAATGGTTGGTTTTAGCCAGGAAACTACAACCCGCCGAGTCTGTGGAGGCTTTGGTTGTGGAGGCTTTGGTCAGTTTTGAAGGTTTTGCGTCCGTCTTAATCGTCAGTCAACGCATTTGTCAACGTGAGCGACTGCGAATCACCTGCAAGCATCTAATAGGTTGAGGCTCTCAGCTATGCCACCATCTATCCAGTGGCTTTGCCTGACACACGCAATCTGTGAAATTTACTCATAAAACTTAGTCCAAAGACTTTCTGCGGCCCCAAAGCATTTGGCAACATCATTGCCTGAAAGGCAAAGTTGCGGACTTTGGCTGGCCTTTTGAGCCGATGTGAGACTCATCACAAAGGGAAGTCTCCCGCATGCAGTGTCTTGAGAAGGGCCATTTGAAGCTTCTTCTGCTGCTTTGGGACCTGTCACTATGACACATATATGCACTCGTCCAGGCCGATGCTGGGACAAGCTCGAGTTGCTCGGCATCTTTCTAACAGCTTGAGTCTCTCGGGCAAGGGGGGTTAAACACCATCCAAGAAAAGACTGCCTCGACAAGGACGATTTAGCTTCATGCTTCTTTCAAGTTGTGTGGGACTGCAGGTACTCCAGTGGAAGACACTTGGCTCACCGAAAGCGACATGAGTCATTCAGTCCACACACACACACAGTAAGCGGGTTCTTAGTAGTAGCAAAGGGTAAGATGTATAAAGTATATACACAGCAAAGTCATAGACCCAACTTGCAAAAGGCATTATCTTCACAAGATTCTCACAAGGCAAGTGTGCCGACAAAGCCCCAAAGCAACTCTCTTCAAAATTCTTGGAACTGCCAACGAAGTCTGAGGCTGCAGTCAGCCGAGAAGCTACGTGAATGGTGGCGGGAAAAAAATGGATGTGATATGGCGAGCAAGCGGTCTCCGGTCTCCCCTGGGTGAGAAGTTGAAATGGCTCCAATGCCCCAATGATGCCTTTGAAAACCATTTGTTCTTCTTTGGAAGATTCAGGTGCTTGAGGTGCTTGTAGGTTTCTGAAGCTTGGACTCAACGATCTCAAAGCAAACAAAGGTTTATGTCTTCCGCCGTCCACTCGAGTGAGATCTAACCGCCTACTGTTCAGGCGGTGTACATCAACAACTGCCAATGGGGCTTGCATGGCCCCATCGAGGTGCGGAAGTCAACCGCGGACTTGTGGCTGAGAAAGAACACGAGGAATTGATGGGAGCTTGCTAAGAGATGCTTTTCTGTAGGCAAGGCGATGATGCGAAGCAATTTGGGTTTGTAAAGTTCGTGGGTTTACTTACTTAATGACAATGGACCATGGAGCTTTGTGTGGATTCGATTTGTTTGTTCTGATCCAGGTCTTTAGCAGAAGATGCATCGCCACGTACATCGCTGGCTTGTAGGGGCCTTGGTGCAACGACTACTGGCTTGGTGCCAGGGTGCTATATAGGTGTATTGATTGATGCATCACAGATGCATCACAGATGTCCTGCATTTGTTCCAGTCTTGGAGCTCCTTGTAAGAACGAGCCGAGGCCCATTTGCTCCAACCTGCTCTACCACGCCTGGGGTGAGGACATATTTGTTGACCAGTGTATGATTGACGGGACCTCAGCAGAGTATCCTTTTCAGTTGGGCATGTGCTCGGCTGTTTGGCCATACCTCAAACAGAATAACTGCCGCATGCTCCTGACATGTGTTTCACCTGAATACATCGAAAGTAGGATCTGCTATCCTACTCCCTTGACCTGCAAGCCTTCTCGTCCCAAGGAACTTGGTCTCACACGGGTCAATGAGTTTGACGTCATGAGTGAAATAGTCAAGACCTTGGATGCTCAAACGAGTCTTGTGTATGAACAGCGTGCAGTGCAGTGTCTAAGTGCATGATTGCAGATAGGACAAACTGCTTGTGATGTTTGGAGTTCGCGGAGGAGAGTGGTTGTTACTACACCTTAGGGACTCTTCTGGTGGCGTTGACCAATCATCACCCAAGGGCCAAAGAGGCCCAAGAGGCAATGTGTGTTCAAAGTGATTTACACATTTTTCTTGAGCACGGGTTATCGAATCACTTCAAGACATGTTTTTGCTTCAATTTGCCCTACTTGCCCAAGAGAGTCATCGAAACCAGCCGACTGCTAGGTACACAAGCAAGGATAGGATTGATCCATATTGACCCCATGCTCCATGAAGCTTCTTACACCTGCCTTTGGCTTCTCAGAGTGGTCGCGGGTGCTTCCGATGTCTTTGCCACATTTGCCATGCCCGACCGCCCTGCCATGTGTTGCAACTTGCAGAACCCGACGATGGATGCGGCAAGAATGCAGACAACATGTGACGACACACATTAATGCCAAATTAATTGGCAAAGGGAGCGACCTTACTCTGTCTCTAACTGGCGCCAAACCCTGGCCTCAAATCAATGGTCGTGCATTCCGCAGAGCTATTGGCTTCTGTCGCTGGCTTTTTTCTTTGGTGCCTTTTGGCTTTGTCGGCCCATCCAAGCCCCTTTACCAAGAATAAAGAACAAAGGACAACCAAGGGAGTGGGGCCAGACAAGTTCAAAACCGTTTTCTTCGGGGAGTCCAGTACGACCTAATGCAAACAATGCTGGAGTGGCTGACTTGGAACATCGAGCTCTATGAACGTTGTGACTGTGATCAGTTTATCCAGAGAATCTATGTGTTCACTCCGAAAAGAGCAAAACACCTGTCAGTGGGCCGGTGCTTCTTGGTTTAACACCTATGCTACTGCTACTGCTGCGACTCCCACCACCATAGCCGCCACCGCCGCCGCCACCACCACGACTTTGAAGTAATTAAGACAACTTTAAGCTTGGAAACAGCAAGGAGAGACGTGAGATGTAGTCTGCTACGGTCTGAGGCTTGTGGTGATCAACCCGCACCTTGTGGCCAAACGGACACCACCTTCCATCCTTTCAAGAATGCCATTCACCCAGTTAGCCGAAGTCAACGAAGTAGCAAGCATTGGTGAAGAAGAGTGTGTGTGGCTTCAAAAGGTACCGGTTCTTGATCAATTTTAATTACAGTCTTGAATGGGTTTGGTTCAGCAAACTTGTTTGGAAAGGAATTGCATCACGGCTTTGCTGAAAGACTGACGCCCAGCCCAAAGCATTATCAACTACCCTCACCTTTTGACAGAGTCCCATGAATCAAAGAAAAGAAGCAAGGGCCCGCGCAATGGCAACTCAGGTGGAGAAGTGGTTTGCTTGTTGGAGTTCGGGGGCCTAGGATCTTGCATGGGCTGGACATTTATCATGCAGTGTCCATGTGGTGAATTCATAGCGAGGATTGTTTGTAGCTATGGAGTTCTTTAGAAGCATGTGAAGTTTATCATATATAGTTTATCACGGCCTCTCCCACAGAAGTTGGACAATCACTTGTGAAACGAAGCGCCCAATGCACTTCGAAACGAAAGGGATGGCCCTCTCGAAGGAAGCTCCCTCCTTTGCACTAAGCTTTTGCACTAACTCTTGAAGTAAGTGAGCAGAGGATCTTGCTTCGTTTGAAAAAGAAGTACTGCCAGAACTCTAAAGGATCAAGCACTTGACAGCTTCACGAAGCTTCACATTGCTTCACCCTTCATATAGTATAAAGCTATATAAAGCTTTGAGCTTCGCCCCTGCTCAGATTTCGCAAACAAGTACGGGCATGGTCCAGAGGCGAGATGCAGGGCCAAGTTACTTTACAGGGTTGGTCCTGATTCTTTGATGAGCTTGGTTCCGGTTGAAGCAACAGCTTCAAATTAAAGTTGAAGCCAAGGGAGATGTGGAAACTATATATATATAAGCGCGAAATCCAAGCCGCAAAAGTTCAGAGAAGTTCAGAGTATGACAATGAGGTTTATGCTAACGGAATGTTTACCGCCCAGAAAAACGTGCAGGTTTCTACACTTGTGACATGGATTGCTCTCCGTATAGTTGCAGTTTAATCTTGCTGCGCCGAGACCTTTTTGTTTCTCAAAGACCATGGGTGGCCTCAGTTGTGTGGGCGCGCCGAGTTTTTGTACGTGTTGTTGTTGTTGTTGTTGTTGTTGTTGTTGCGAGTTGGCAAGTGTGCGGACATCGGAGAACTTCCGGCCAATCTTATGAATTGTTTTTTGCTGGGTGCGTTTTATATGGATAGGTTATTACAATAAGAATTGTTTGTGCAGGTTTGTTCCGGGGACCCTTTGCTTGCAAGCACTTGGTTGGTGGTGCTTGACCAGGATCGTTGGCCTGTGGTGTTTTCAGCGTTGGAAGAGCACGTAGAGCTTTTGAAGGTGCTTCGGGAATCCAAATTGAAATAGCCTTTGCCTGTCTTGCTGCGGACCATTGAGCGATATGTCCATGGCGCAGTTGCAGAAAGTGTGGAAAGCTGTGCTATTGCTTTGGGATTGAATGGCTCCAACACTGGCGGGTCTTGAGGATGTGCGAATGCAGGAGACCTTGAAGCGGACGGAGCCAGCATCCGAAAGTGGAAGTGTGAAGATGGCCGGAAATGCTGCATTTTTGCATGTAATGAGCTTGGCTTACGCCAAAGCTTTTGGCAAACCGCCAGAGAGCAAACGTCGCATTGAAGGGACCACTGCCTTCAAGCAGGTGCTCCTCACAAGTTGTGTTTGCGCCAGCGCAACCATGCCAAAGGTGTAAAAGTGAAGAAACGCGGCAAGGTGAAAGTCCACAGCGGAGGGTTCGGTGGTTCTGGAAGGTGATAAAGCAGGGAATTCCTGCATTGACCTCTTCCACAGTGAAAGGTAAACACCTTTGGTCCTTTGTGCGTTCGGCCCATTGGAGATGGGAACGCGGAGGCCACAGCTTGCTTCAGGTGACAGGAAAATGTGCGGCGCAGTTTTACAATAATTTTTTGGGGCAACGTTGCGATGGGCCCCTTGGATTTTTCAAACCTGTTCAGGTGAGCAGGGCTTGCCCGTTCTTTGTTTGGTTGAGGCATGTGTCAACCTGGAAATGCATTCGCTCCAGGTAAACTTATAAAACGCATAATAGGACAACGGAACCTTTTTGACAAGACTATGTTGTAAGGGGCGCACGAAAGAAAACCAAACAACAATTTTTGACCTCAGACTCATTTGAGAGTTCTTGTTTTGCTGCAGCGAAGCACCTGAAAAAATAGACGTGGGGCAGTAGCGACCCCGCCGGGAGCTTCTGTTGAGTTCATATCCTTTGCCTTCAGGACCGACTTGCATCAATTATCGTCGAGCAGGCGTGTGATTCCCGTTCTTGTGGCCACCGCAAGTGGTCAGACCAACTGTATCAATTTATTCCGACCACGTTGCCTTGGTAAAGGATAAGATGCATGGTACTGGACTGAAAGATACGCATAAACATACACTGCAGGCTCTGTAGCACTTGGAAGAACAGTTTGCTTTCAATCAGTTTGCTATGAGTGACACAGGCAGAAGTCATGGAAGAAATGAAGAGAGAGGAAGAGGCCGCCAAGCGAAAGAAGGACGAGGTTGAAGAAGCATCCGGGAAGGCACGAACCGCATTTTGTTTGTTTGCAATGTGTTACTGGTAGCTTCTTGTTACTACTAGTAAGGCCAGGAGCCCCTAGTAGCTTCTTGCTCCTAGTAGTAAGGCACTTGTTACTACTAGCGTCCTTGTTACTACTAGTAAGGCACGTGTTAATAGTAGCGATGCACTTGCTACTAGTAGCTTCTTGTTACTACTAAGCTACCTTGGTGTTTACAATGCGTTTACATGAGGTCTTGACCCAACATACAGGCAGTTTTGGACCGTAAGGTCAGCGCCATCCCAGACGACCCACCCTTGTGCCAGATACGCCAAATGCTTGACACGCAGAGCTGAACGCCGGGTTGGACAGCGAACCAGGCTGTGATCGAACTTGCATCGTCTCCTGGTGACATTTGGTGAGTAACTGGTTGCTTTGCCTTGTGGTTTAACACCTATGGGTTTGCTAAGAAGGCTGGTTCTGCTCAACTCAGTTTTGTATGGACTGGGTTTGTCATTGTCATTATCCTGGCTTCAAAGGGGAGTCCTTCAAGGTTCTCAAGATTTCTTGAGTTTGTGAGTGAAGTCAGGTGCCTTCCACCTTACAAACAAGGGGTTGGCTCATTAGATCGTTTTAGATCTTAGCGCGTTCGGCTGATGCACTTGAATTCAAAACAGCTTTATGGCGTAATGTGAAATGCGAAACGGCTTTGGGATTGCGCCGAGTCTACCCTCAGACTTCTGGAGTGGCATAAGTTCTCGACCTTTGTGTCATGTGGCTTGCAAGAAAAGACAGCATCCGCCGTTTTTTGCATAAGTGATGCGATTTGGCTGTGAGAATGCAGCAGCTTTGTGTTGGTGGGAGATTACAACGGTATTTGGACCCAAAGAGTACTGAGCAGTTCAGCTGCAGTTCGGTAGCTCATGTCTTCTCGACTCAATTCTTTTTGAAGGAGTTCTCAATTTGCAATGGGGGCTTTCGTATCCCTGCAATCTTTTCCTGCAGCGGCAACTGCATTCAGAAGCATAGCTAGAAACAAGTGCAATCACAGTAGTGTGATCAAGAACATTCAGGAACTGTTTTGGGGACAATTTCTGGACACACCATTGATCGCATACTTTGATAGATACTCCACGGGTTCGAGACACTCTGAACACTCACAGTTTTGAGATAAGCTCAGCTGTCGGGGTTCTTTTGTTCAACAGTCTAGAAGCAGAGGCACGAACCCCTTGCACCCCCTCAACCATGCTACACGACAGCAGCCTGTAGCACTATTTGGTTTGAAGCCTTTGTTGCCTTTGTTCCATTCACAATCCTCTTCAGCGGCTTTTTGATTTTGGAAGCATATGGAAGCACCAGTATCAGTTTTTCCACAGCAGTGGCTGACTGCATGATGTGCAGCGAAAGCTGGCCAGAGGATGACGCCGGAAGCACAAGTTTGCCGAAGAAAGTTGAGATTTCATGCAGACACAATGAAACGCTATCACATCCACACTTGATTATTTAATAGCAGACCAGAAGTTATCATGGTAGCATTTCAAGGCAGTGAAAGTACATGGAAAGGCTGCGATCATTGGCACTCTTTGAAGGATGAGAAGATGTCCAACCCTGTTGTTGTTTCCAAGTTAAGCTGCCCAGTCAGATGTCATGAGGTCACACTCAGGCACCATGTTTGTTCCACTTCTTCCATGCAGAGCCATGGAACAAACACTCTGCAGAGTCATGGAGCACATGTCGTGTCTCATTTGCTGTGTCTGTTCACACTGTCTCTTCGACGTTTCCCAGGTGCACGTGGAGCTGTGCCGGATGGTGTGCCCCTGGGGGCGATCCCAGTGTTTGCAGGCCTTATGTGTGCGTTGGGGTGGCCCAGATTGAGCAATCTCCCTCAGCAGCAGCACCCCCCAAAAAAGGAAGGAGTCATTTTTTTGCAACAGAAATAGTCTCTTGAATCAAGGCGGTGGACATTGGCACGGAGTGGCATCATGTCAGACAGTGTTTATGGCAAAACATGGTTGCGGAAGTAGAGTCTCAGCGTTTGCATGTTAGAGACTGTCTCAACTACACGGAGTATAGATGTGGTACACGCATATCGTGTCTATAGTTACAGTAACTGTTTGTGTGAGCATGTGATTGGACATGTCCAGTGATTGACAGTTTCCTTTTATTCAACAACACCTAGCGGCTCAGCTGATAGCTCCCATGACAAAGCAGAGCAGCAGAGCTTTGAGATGCCATGGACCAATGGAAGGCTGGATAGGTGGAATTGTTGGCAGAATCGCAAGAAGATGCCACGCTGCCACGAAGCATCGACATATGGCGAATCGAAAGGCACCTAAAGGATCTTAAAGGCACTTACTTGTTAATGTATGTAGGACCCAGCTAGGCTACTAGGCTCCCAACTATGGCCCAGCATGACCCGTTTGATGGTGGCAATGATGGCTTGGGCGACTTGGCACGAGAGGAGAAGGCTGCATGCAGACCTTTCTTCTATGACCGAGGAGTACCCATTTGTTTCATTTGCGGGCTGTTCGTTCGACATCGCACTGAAACGGTCCAAGAGGCCCCAACATTGGTCCCAAGGGTCCATCTACCCCTCGCGTCTCCATCTGGGATCGCCTGTGGTGATCCCAGAGACTTCAGTGTCTTTCTTCCTGAGGACATCTCCCATGGCCTTTGGGCGCCAGGAGTACCTCCATACCTGCTGCGCTGCGATCCCTTGTCGCCGAGCCAAGAGCTGCCTGCGGGAATTCAAGAGATGTTTTGTTGATTCACGCAAAAGGCTGTTCTTGTCCCCAAATTGAGAGGCTTGGGCATGGTTCCATTAATATTTGTTAAAATTAAGTTCACATTTAATTCTAGAATTAATTCAACTTTAGCTTTAGCTTAAATCTAATTAAAGATTAATCTAGTTCTAATCTAATTCTATTTCAATTATAATTGAGTTTCAATTTATTGTTTGCTTCCAATTTATACTCATTTATTTCTAATTACTACTACCTTCTTGCTACTAGTAGCGATGCACCGGTACTAATAGCGATGCCCTTGTTACTAATAGATTCTTGCTACTAGTAGTAAATGCATATACAGCAATTGGAGATTCCACTAATTGAGATGGTTTCGCTGAACAATACCTATTATTCGATTGCCCCTCTGTTGTTGGGGGATGGAGTTGGGTGCAAGTAGTACGGTGTTTATAGATTTACAATGTTGTTAGAAAGGGATGGTTTGGGTTTACATCGGAGTATGTTAGAGTAATAGAGTCTTGCGGTTCTTAAGTGTTACTTCACTCCAGAACCCAGCCAGTTCTCCTTTTTGTCTTAAGATATCTTTAGGATTATAGATCTTGATCCGAATTTTTAAGATCCCATCCTTTCCTGGTCTTTTCCTTTCCATTCTCAACCGACTGTTATGACACAACGCTGACAGCTGAGGTTCTTCAAAGAGGAAGTCCCTTTCAGCATTCCAGCACCGCGTCTTTGTTCAGGAGCTCGCTTCCTACCAGTTTCCTTTGCCATCCCAAAGGAGGACAGGGAGTTCACGTGACAAATTGATGAAAATTCTTGGTGCTGAGAGTCCGGTTGCCTTGAACATGAATCACCCTGAGCTTTTCTCTTTCTCTCGGCGATTCGTGCCTCCCCGGCGATTTGAGGGCTTTTCGTCACACACCCAGTGACTGCTCACAGGATGTCTTGCCCTGTGTGCCAGAGAAATTCATGGATTTTGCTCCGCTGGTTCCAGGCTTAGAGGACTGACTCAGTTTTTTGGAAGACATTCATGGCACTTTGCTATCAGGAAACGCGGTTTAATTGTCCTTCAGAAGACATTCAAATTTGATTTGTGGATTGCCCATCATGACCCTATGATTTGCCACCAAGTCAAGCAAGTCAATCGTAGGAGTATTATGTCAGCTACAGAACTTGTCCGAAGGAGTCTTACGTTTTTCCCATGACGTCATATGGAGAGATGGAGTACAAGAGGACAGTCACCGTGTCTTCGAGAAAGGTTTGGCTTTTCCATGAACTCGTGCATTGAGGCCCTCAATGTTTCGAGCTGCACTTGTGGGGTCCAGGTATTGACAAGGAGGTGATAGGCGGTGTTTGACTATGACTTGTTTCGCGCATAGCAACTCCGATGAGTTACATGTAAACAGGGAAGTCCGACCGCTCAGTAGCAGTGTTTTCATTCTTGCCCAGCTCATCCCATACACAGTGGAGCCAAGTCCATGCCACACCTTGGCAGCAGAGGAAACAGTCCAATAAAACATGACCCAGAGGACAGGTCATTTTTGGTTGGTCGTTTGAGACTTGGGTGTGGTATCCCATACTCCAAACATCTCCAAACCGTTCTATGCCTTTGCGCCTGGCTTACAATACATAAAAAAGCACAGCCGTTCGCTTTGTGATTTGCTTTTGTCTTCCAGACCATGAGGAAAGCATAGGAAAGCAAGATTCACCAGTCTCGCTCCAGGATGTACCGAGAATCACGGTTTGGCGTAACAAAGCGCCGAGCAGGCACTTGCTTCTGACATGGTTAACATTGGTTAACATGTTTTGTCCATGTTGTTTGTTGATTTTTGAGACCAACATGTCAAGGTGGGTATTGAAGGTTGCTTTTGAACACCTGGGAGGGTAAACACAAACGGTTTCCAGGCTGGGAAACGATGCGCATCTATGAGATCCTGGCATGCGGCTCGGAGCCATGGCAAACATCAAATTGACGGCGCGGCAAATTGTTTCAAGTTGCTTTATGTGAGTAGGGATCGAGCATGTTCTTTTGGATTCGCACTTAGGCATCTCAAACAACTCACGTGTGAGATCCTGTAAGCACCAGACTGCCATAGATGCTAAATGAACCAATTCATTCTGATAGATTGCAACCTCCATGAAGGCTTGGCAGGGTGAGTTTCACAACATGTGCTTTAAAGGACATCACAAGCACCTTCAGTGAAAAAGGTAATGCCAAAGAGCAGTCCGATTTTGATTGATTTCTTCCCAATGTCGTCCATGTCGTCCATGTCTTATCGCCATCGCCCTGCCGTTCGCCGAACAGAGTGTTCTGCCAGAGGTTCCGTACATCCATGCCGCAAACGAAATCCCGGATGCTGCACTGGTGTATGTGAACAAGACGCTTCTTAGGCCAGATCATGTGAGCGGTTAGCTTGACAAGATGTTTTTAGTGCAATTCTCCAAGACATTCGAAGACTATCTTGTTGACAACCCCCGATTTTGGGATCTTTTGTCCAAAGGAAGCCCTGTCAAATGAAGATCCTTTGTGCACAGATTGTTGAAAGAGGAGTGAACAGTGAATTGACCAGATCGTTGGATTGTCATGGCAATTGGGCTGTTGGCACACCCGCAAGGCAAGCCCAGCAATTAGTGGCGAATGCGGGCCAACCACCGCGAGATGCCTTCAGCACGCCTACAGTGGACAGTTTGGATTTGACCAAATATGTAGCACTGGCAGCTGCCTGGCAGCAAGAAACACAAGCAGCTAAGCAACTTGACTATCGAAGCTGCAGGTACGACAGTAGGGAAGAACTTCAAACCAAACAACTAGAAAACAACATCAACATGCCAAGAAACGTTGTACCACGAGGATACCACCGGATGACGACCCCAAGGCTGAGCTCTTGCGCCACACGCAGCAGCACCTCACCACAGAGGTCAAGTTTGGAAAGCAGGGCACTGCATTGTCTAGGACCCTAGGAATATTGCTGATATAATTCTATATTCTGTATATGGCATCATAGAATGAATCATGAAAGGTTGTATGTGGGAGTCAACCAGAACCATACACGCTTGACAAACTTGTTCACTTTGTGTTCCAGTCTGCGGTCAAAACGGGGTTTGCCTCCTTTTGGCAGGGATGGTCATCCATCTCTTGATGGCACTTCAATACAACCACAACAGCAACCCTGTCAAATGAGTTTGACAATGGCACACATGGATGCTGAAGTGCGACTCAGCACATGTCAACACATAGCCCACTGTTTCTTGCAGAGTTTTTCTGGTACCTACTGCTTAGCCCCTACAACGTGCGTGATTGTCACACTCAGAGTTATATGAGCTCGGATGGACGGCTTTTGACAGGCGTTGGCAAAATATATTTTGACGTCCTATGGAAAGCCGGTTTCCACTGCACTCTATGTCTCAGGATGCTTCCTGCCAGCAAGCAATTCTCCTTGCTTTCGCCTACAATACACTTTGGCATGGTTTGCACCAGTCCACCATGTTTTACCGATGAAGGTGAACTTGCTCCTTATATTATGCTCCGCCCTTTGCGTCCCAAAAAGATCAAAAAGGGGTCATACTAAGGGACACGTTAATATGAAGGAATATTCTCAAATTGAGTGGTCTTATATCACCTGTGCCAGAGGTGCGTTTCTTGCTGGAGGAGGAGTCCTCTAGGACTATCACAAACTTGTTTTTTAGCACCGATTGCATCACATCGTGCTGGCTAGGTTTTCATGGAGACTATCTGTGCTATGTGTGCCCTTAGTTGCACATTCGTGACATTCGCTGATTTGGCGCGACCACATGGTCAGTATGGACTCGCGGATGTTTTGCGGACACACTTGTGGAAATTCATGTTTAGCAGCAGAAGCAACACTTACTCCCCATCATCCTGCACCCTAGAAGGCTCGTTTCAAGCTTGCAGTACAGGTCCAATCTTTCCCATGTGTCAAGCTACGGTTGAAAAAGGTGTCAAAGAGAAGCAAACCAGAAGCAAGTTCTTGTGTGACCTCATTTTGCTTAATTACATTGACAATCATTGACATGACATGTTTTTTGTTAACGTTTCACTTTCTTCAGAGTTGCTTTTGATCAATCCAAGGGCGTTGCATGGCCTGCGCAGAGTGCTGGGTAATAGATTGGTGCCTCGGAACGGCATGACATGCTGTATTTGACCGTTGACCTGCAAGGATCGGCTGATGCTTGAAGGATCTGCAGCCTTTGTGCGAAATCGATCTTTATACTATAAATTAGGCTATAATTATATATATTTTAGTTGGTGATTGAACTTGCCAGTGAACTTTGTGACTGAGGTGGATTATCCATTCTTGGACTACATGTACATGCCCAATGTAGCCCCCTTGCAGCCCATCAACCGCAAGACGACATGCCCACAGACGCAGTGCACTGTCCTGAAACCTGGATGCAATTCCTGAACCTCTAACCAAGATAGGTTTTCTCAGAAGATGTCACATCAAATATGCATATAGACTGATGAAGCTGCAGCAATGCAAGCTATATACAAATGGTCCTTACTATGTTTTTTGCCGCTTTGGCATCTCACTACTTGGTGCAGCCACAGGCTCTGGAAAACCTATCGCCGAGACTTGGGTGTTTCTAGTCACGTAGAGAAACACGACACATGAGAATCCCTTGGCTTGGTTTTTGCAGGAGCATTACGCCCAGTGGGTTTGTATCACGTTCTCGCTTCTTCCCAGTCGTCTTGAATCATCGACCCACTGGGTAATGAAGAATCACCCTGATCCGGACGGGTTTTCTCAGGAGCGGTGGCCTTGGCGAAGGAGGCGCACCACGTGGCGCACCACGTTTTGCTCCTGGGTCGCATCCGACTTCCTGAGGGTCGGAGGTTTTTTATTTTTTCAGAAAAAGCTGTGTGCTGCATGGTGCTGCCAATTCTCATGAAACTGCCTTCGCTGCGGGAGCAGATTCCTCCCTGAAGTCTGCTTGCTGATCCTTGCTGGGCTATGGCCTGGCTGAGGCCATCAATAGCCTGGGTGCCAATGTGCCAGTCTACGGAGGTGGCTTTTCTTATGCATACCGCTTGGAACACTTGCAAGACCTGAACCGTTCTCGAGCTGCGACCTGGCTCAAGACTGCGACACGGGGCGCCGAGCGTGGTCCGAGAGGTAGCCCGTCATCACCACTAGGGACTTTTATTTATGATACGCTATAGTAATTATGTATACACAGTATGTTATATTTACAAAATAAGCAATTTGCTTGGTGCATGACACTATTCATTCATCGTTGTTGAGCAAGCTCTCTCTTGTTATTTTCATTTGAGTTCAGGTCGAGCATGACCAGCAGGTTTTAGGGCTACCGATTGGGATGAGCCAAGCCAAGGCGATCAATGCACAGGTGTCGAGACGGGAGCACCTTTGGTCCCAATTTAGGTGATCATTTTGCACAGCACAGGATCTGGCGGGCTGTTGGGCTGGCAGGGCTCAACACTCTTAGAGATGTTCCTCGGAACAATGCTCTATTGATGGATATTTGAAGCTTTGCATTCGATTGTATGTACCTCACTTTCTGTGTCTTTTGCTCGTTTATATGTTAGATACCAGAAGCCGATTTCAGATCGATCGGGGGTTGTCCTGTGTTCAGTGTGTTCTGTCCATATTGTCCATCTCTCTCAGCAAACAGTTGCAGGGCTTAGGTCTGGAGTGGGATTTCAAAAGCATTCGAATGCTGTCCCCTCGCCACCAAGAACGCTCCTTTTACAAGGCCTCGTCTATAGGCCATAGATCCTAAAAGTCGACCACTCCTTTCTGCTACTTCTCTTCTTGGAAGGCATTCTATTTTGACTGTTCATCGGCGCGAACAGTGCTTCCTTTACCACAGGTTCGATGTGGTGATTCTGCCAAGCGCTTACCTGGCCTTGGGAAATGGCTTCCGGGAGGCTGGAAGAGGTGGATGCCGTTGATCCAACATTCACTAGCATGTTATGCAAATCTCTAGATTCAATGACATTTATAAAATTCCCGAGGACCTTGAGTTTCCCTAAGGTAGTTTTCTTCATGTTTATTCAATTTGGCGAGTGCTTTCCGTTGCTTTTCTTGTCCCAGGTGGGTTGCGCACCTCCCAAAACGGCCAAAAGGGACCGCCGGGAAACACGAACCTTCCTACCAGCTTACTTCGACTGATTTTTGATTTCCAGGCAATGCATGCCACCCTTGGTTCAAGGTGCTTTTCCACGGGGTAGCATCCAGCAACCAGTTGTGGAGGCAGGACTTTAACCACAGCACAAGTACAGGTAGGCGCTTTTAAAACTAGATCATTGTAAGTTCTTGGAGCATGCGTAGAGCGTGTCATGTTTCCTGAACACATGTCACTAGCCAAAATGGTTTGCCATTTTGGCTCAGGAGTTGGGTACTACGGTCTTGGAAAAACAAAAAGCACACACCTTTATGTTGGAGAAAGATATTATCTACAATTTGCAATCAATTCCAGGTGCAGCTGCTCGTGAAGCATGTCTTGAAGCACTATGCTCCACATCAGATCATCATCCTTGTCCGCATCTCAGAGATGGGTCTTGGATAACCTGCAATCCTGCTCTGACACTTTTTGCTGGCTCCCAGCGAAAGACATGTTGCTAGTGAATACTGCAGACAAACAAAAACTGTTTGGTGAGTCCTGTCCTTGTGGTGATGTGGTTGTCATCACTCGGGATGATAGTCACCGCAGTCACCAGTCTTCGCTGAGTTCTTTTGCTGTACCTGGTCTCTCAATCTGATGGATCAAGGACCAACATCAAGCACACCACTCAATTGTTGCCTCAGGACGGTCGAGATCCGGAGAAGAACAATGTCCTGCCTGAAGGCATGGTTGAAGGGTTGGTAACGGTAAGGTTGAGCTGTTTATCCACGCTGAGTATCTGATGCTAGCTGTGAATTTGGCATGCCATTCAGGCAGGTTGAGGTATATAGAGAATTCGCACTGCATGGAGTTGAAAACCAACCTCCTTTCTCTATACTCAGCTGCCCAGCTGATCTCCTATTTGCTGTGAGGTGCAGCTGATTTATCCAAGCAAGGCTTCTTGTACTTCCTGAGAGAAGCCCCGACATGGTGTGTGGAAGAATGAACCACGGCCAAAGAAGCCGCGGTTCGTTCATAATGTTCATAAGAAAAGCATCGTTCAAGCGATGAAACGAACGTGACAAACATAAGGCCTTCGAACGGGGCGACAGGTGCTCCGGTGCCGCTCACGTCGCCCAGGTGCCGAACACCGGCGCCTGCACGGGCAGCGTGTGTGTCGAGGAGTGCGTTGGCTGGAGTCTCGGACAGTTGTTCAACATGGACATGTAAGGCGGAGTTGCCTACAGCTGCAGGTCAGAGGGTCTCCAGATGTGGGTTCCGTTTGCATGGTTGTGTCGTGTGTATTTAGATGACTTGGCGTGCGCTTGCCACGTCTCAGATTTCACAAGATCTTAGATCAAGGAGCTGTGGCACAAAAAACTATCGTGTGGATTAGGTTGGTTATTGGGTTTCTTTCTAGATTATCAACATGGGTTCATGGTTAGAGAGTCGGAGCTTTGACAATCAAATCATATAAAGAATCTACAGTAATCTGTCTCCAGACATAGGCTGATGTGCTCCGACTCTCGACAAGGAAATGGAACCAGATTTCCCTGACGAGGCAACACGACCAGCGTGGAAAACACCAATACAGCAGAGCCGGGCAACCTAGTTAGCATTGTGAGACTCAGCATGCCGAACGACATCAAGACAACAGAATACAACAGACGTGACATTTGTGTCATTCCTTACAGTAGTTACTCGGAAGCAAGTGAGCCGACGAAGTAAATGGTCCTGCAGGTCTATTGAGCTTCGTTTGAACGTTTCTTAGGAGACACTTCAGAGCAGAAGCCTAATCTCATGTCCTAGTACAACCTAGTTTTGCACTGGACAGAACATCCATGGCACATGACCTGACAACTGACCTTCACTTTTGCATCCATGCACGATACCTGTAAGACCTGCAAAATATTCGATTCATGCTGAGATTCCCTGTGATGATGCTGGTGATCCCAGCCACTGTCCTGACGATCTTGTTCCTTTGCTGTGCCCTGCTTTGTGGACGCTCTTTGCTGAGGACGATCCACTGATAGGTGTGTTTGGCACATTGTACACCTAGTTACTAGATCCTACTATATATACATACCTTGGCACGTTATTCCAAAAGACTGTCCTGCACAGCCCTTGCAGTAGAGGAGTGCTTGTGGTGGCAAAATAAGTGGCATGGCACCAAGCTGGCCCGCGGTGCGCTTGAAGAGGAGACTTTGTAGTTTGAGGTAATGAAATAAGTACATGGACTTTCTTCATTTAGGCTATTGCAGCTCAGTTTGAGCTGGACAATTCACTGGAAGAGTAGAGCCCTTGGAAGCAGAACACGGTACATGGAACTGCTCCATGGAGCGAACGGAGAGGAAACCATCGCCGCCCGTGCCCAGCGATCCTTTGGCGCGACAGTTGCAGGTTTGCCGACAGATCGTTTGGGGAGTCTTTGAAACCCTAATGAGTTGCGGTTAACACAATAACAATGTTGGGGTTAACCCTAATGTTGGGGTGCATCTAATGTTTTTAGAAAATAACTCCACTGGTTTACATTGTTTAAAACACAATAACATGGTTTAATGGATCATATTGTGATGATATCAGTCCTTTTGTGTGAGTTGAGCAAAGGATCCTCTTGTAATTCTAGGAAGGGTGGACTTCTGGACTAGCGAACCAAGGGGCATGTTCCAGTTTCAATCCAACTGCAGTCCATTGAAGATGCTAACCTTCCGTTTCGATGGACTCATTTGCGCCAACCTCTTGAAGAAATGAGACGATGCATTCTGTAAACTGCTTCGGCTACCCAAAGGCTTTGGAACATCCGGGCATCAGATGTTCTGGAGTCTGAAGCAGCAGTCCCTATCAACAGGCCACCGAGCATTGAGTCTTCAGGCGGCCACCGAGCTGGCGGCTTCTGCACCAGAGGTGGAGAGCCGAACGAAAATCGGAAGGAAACGCGATGAAACGCGTGCGACGCATGTGTACAAAGCCTGCGACTTGCACTGAACTTTGGACTTGCGTTAGGCTCAGTACATGTTTGATGTTCAGAGTCGTCCTCATTACAATGTTCATGCAATGCAAGTGGCGAAGATTGATCTGAGGTATAAACGCAGCCCAACGGTTCGTGTTTTGCACTCCCAATTCACCCCAATTAGAAAGTCATCAACAGTCTTATGAGTCTTATAGAGTATTCTGTTCTTGACTGTTCGCATTTAACATTCTGTAACATTCTTGTGTACTATTCTAAGCACTTCCATCCCCAAAGCGGAAGAGCCAGTGCAGTGCTTTGAGATGCAACCACTGTGCTGTGCTATCAGTTTTAAAAGCACTTAGTCGACTTCACGATGGGTACTTGATTCGATTCGCGTAGTTGCTTGCATTTGGATGGTGTGGAAATGTAGGACTGTGCGAAAGTGATGGCCAGTGCCCTGTGCAAAACGACTCAAAAAGGTAACATCTCCAAAAACGACTTCTTTCGGACTTTCGGCTGCCATGGCCGAGACCGGTGCTGTTTCGTTCAGGAAGAGGCGGACCACACAGTGCCCTTCTCGGTCTCCGTGTTGGATCCCACGCGCAAGGAGTGACATTCTTGAGCGCATGTTTGCAAGGTGTGGCCAATGTCATTATGTGACCTGCGGAATCAGCAAATCCAAAGCGAATTCTTTTGGATCTCGAAAATCCTCGAAAGTTGCATATCTATATATTAATATCTATCCCTAGAGCAATCGTGCAGGTAGATAGAGGATGGACAATCCAGAGACTGCCAGGAGAATTGCAAGTATATACACGCGTATTTATATTGATCTATGTTCAGTGGAATGATATGGAATGATTGTTCTTGTTGAATCCATGCGGTTTCGTGTGAATCCATGAAATTTCTTGGGTTTGTACTATATAGGGATACTAGGGCATTAGGCTTAAATGTTTCACAAGCTATTCAGTTGTTCTTAGTTCAGCTTTCAGGCACCAGGCACACAGTTTCTGTGTCAGCTTAGAAGTGTACATTTTCTTGCCATCTGCCGGTTCCAGGACCTTGCCATATCGAAGCTTTGGGATGCATGGGAAGACGAGGTCAACTGCTGTGGTGCTGTGAAGCAATGTAGCCATAGGAATCCGAATCCTCGGGAGTTTGGAATCCAGATTCACCAAATGCGTGGCGCATGAGTCAAGTGTGCAGCACAAGAAGGTCGGCACATGACTCAATGACAATCATTGAAAGGTCTTTTTCATGGGTTTGTATTCGGCACCTGCGACAAGGTCCATCAGAGTACTCGGGCCTCACATGTAATAAAATGCAAATACAGTGGTTCTGTTCCTCTCTTTTCCATGAAGCATTCTCTAGCATTCTAGACTACCACGAGGAGCATCGTTATTTCCAAACAAATGCCACTGAGCAGGCACGTCCGGATTTTTTTGTCGGCTTTGTGGGCTGTTTGTCCTCCAGCTTTCCCACGCGCACCGAAGTCAGTAGCTGTGCACCTGATCACGCAATGATGGACCAGCAATTTAGGGCGCGGCACTTGCTGAACCACTCCCCTCTACTTCCTTGGTGCCTTGCTGATTGTTTGTTAGGCTGAGCTTGTGGGAAAGTCAGGCTTTGCGGACGGCAGGCAATTGCGTGATGCGATGGGCGTCAGCATCTAAACCCTCTTGGCAAGGTCAGCAGGCTTCATGCATAGATGGCTAGCCAAGTATGGGATGAGTTAACTCTTGTGTATCCATTCTCGAAAAGTTGACGGACTGCTATCCTGCAGTTGTGTTTTGATGGTTCATTCGAGGAGTGCAAATTGTGCCAGCAAGCGTTAGCGCAAGATCTCACCCTGGACTTGCAAAGGACGCACTGACTGCTGGGCTTGGGACACGACCTACAGCAAACCGGTTCAAAAAACACTAATTACCGTTGCAACTCCCGAGAAGTTGAGCCACTGGCTCGCAGCCAGGTCCAAATGGGCTAGGAATATCCCGGCCCTGCGAGAGGTGCAACACTGAGCTCTGATGTTTCACCGAAGACAGTTGAACTTGTTGACTAAGCAGACAGAGTACAGGAGCCCCTAGTAGCTTCTTGCTCCTAGTATTCAAAGGCCAAGGTATGGGGCTTGGCTGTTTGGTTGTGTAATTTATGTTCATGGACCGCTCAGATCATTAACACCTCATTTGCAGTCTACAGCGTACATTTTTTCATGTCACTGTGGTGCTGAAAGTCGGCAGTGAGGTCCCGCCAGCCGTTCAGGCTAACTTTTCTGTGGACCCCAGGCTGCAAGTTGATCCAGTGTTGGGTTGCTACATGCCAGCTCTGTGAGCAAGACAATGTGCAACATGATGGGAAGAGGGAAGCTTCCTTGATCTATATGATATCATATAGTTACCCTTTGGCACGGCCAGTCACCAGCTTTTTAGCACCCCAATCAATTGTATCCCAAGATTCAAAGTCTTGCTGTCAACGGCTCCACCGATCAGTAGATTCATGAGCGCTTCAAGCGTGAGCAATGCTCACCAGGCTAATTCCGCCCAAAGTGAAGGATGCCCAGTTTGTGGCAGGCGCACTTCGCAGGGCTTTAAGTTTTTATGTCAAGATGACCATACATTGGGCGTGCTGGGCAAGCTGTTCCTAGCACCTTAGTTCAAGCCAGTCCCATCGCGTTTGTGGTCATAATGCAGAGCATTACTCTGCCTTTGACTCAGTGTTCAGTTCTTGTAATCCACATGCTGAAGGCGGGTCGAACCATGCTGCCACACAGGCGGAGAGCCTTCTGATCGTCGTACAGATGCTGAAGAGGAGCTGTTTTGCATTGGCCTGTTTCTTTTCAATAGAGAGAAACAGTACGTCTCAATACCTTTTTCTTTTTTCTCGGACATGTGTTTTAACTAATGTTTACTTTACTATATATGTGTCCACGAGCCCATACAAATACGTATAGTATATATATATATATGTATGTGCTGGAATTTCACCCAAGCACTGAACAGAATGTTGTGCCTTGGATTCAGGCCAGCTGGTTTGAGGCCGAGCTAAGGGGACCAAGCATAGTAATGCCAGGCATTGCCTGGGAGGAAGCTAACGGTCTTTTGTAAAGTTTTTCTGCCGCAGCTTCAAGTGCCATGGGT